AGTTACGGTTCCTAATCTGGATTATCCAAGTGGGCACAATGTAACCACATGATCCGTTAAAAGCAAAGAACCTTCTCTGGCCAAAGGCAGAAAAGAGATGTGGCCAATGGAGAAATCAGAGTTTAAGTGTGAGACAGGTCTGATACCCTACTGCTGGCTCTGAGAGAACAATGGAGGGCCACGCGCAAGGACTGGAAAATGGCCTCTGAGAGCTAAGGGCGGATCCGGCTGACAGCCAGCGGGAAATGGGAACTCATTCCTACATCCTGGGGCACCTCACCCACCTGTCGCTCCTCCCAGGCTTCTGTGTAGGCATGTAACTCATCTGCATGGGCAGGAGGGAGAGACGGCAGGTGACCTGAAGTTTCTGGCCTGGGCTCTCCACACTTCTCCTTCCTGTGGGCACCTGGACGGGATTCCTGATCTTTTCCCTCTTTGCCAGTTCTCAGGACGAAAGTTCCTACTTCAGGCCATGTGACTGGATGCTACTGGACCAGTGGTTCTCCAAGTGGGGTGCCAGGGCCAGCAGCATCAACATCACTTGGGAGCTTGTTAGAAAAGTAAACAGTTTTTTATAAATGTTTACTCATTTTTGAGAGAGGGAGGGAGGGAAGGAAAGAGAGAGAGAGAGAGATAGAGTGTGTCAGTCAGCAGGGGACAGGCAGAGAAAGGGGGACAGAGGATCTGAATCAGGCTCTATATTGACAGCAGTAAGACTGATTTGGGGCTTGAACTCACTAACTGTGAGATCATGACCTGAGCTGAAGTCAGATGCTTAACCAACTGAGCCACCCAGGTGCCTCTAGAAATTCTAAGGAAATTCTTAAGCTGACATCTACACCCACTGACTCAGAAGCACTGGGGGTGGGACCTGGAAATCTCTATCTTCCAGAGCCTTTCAGAAGATTCTGGCATATTCTAAGATTTGAGAACCCCTGTGCTGGCCCCTGAGCTGCTTGAGGGAAAGAATCCTACTTCTCTCTCCCCCTAGGACCTCGGCCCCTGCCTGGTCTTCAGTGGACACCAGCAGATATTTGTGGGGTGGAAGGTGGGTGAATGAATGAATGAGAGGCCATTCATCTCTGTCTGAACCTGTCCCTTCCTGTCCTTCCTGCTGTTCCTGCTCCTTCTGGGATTCGGGCACTTCCCAGGCCAGTGCCAGGGGCTGCAGGTGTGCCAGGTGGCCGCAGATGGGACCTACTTCGGAGACCCGTGCCCCACCCAGGGCAGCTACCTGTGGGTGCAGTACGAGTGCCAGGAAGGTGAGTCCCCAGCTTGCCTAGCCATGGGAATTCCCGATTTCCACACCAGGTCCAGCCCCACTTGGAGCACTGGGAGAAGACACCCCTGGGCATCGATCTGTGTACTAAGACTTCCTCGCCCACCACTCGTGCCCTGCAGCCTGACCTCCCCACCCGGCTTAGCCTCTTGGGGTAAAGAGTCTGAGGCTCCTGCTGCAGAAATGAGCCATCAAGCCAGAAGTTCAGTTTCCTGGAGTGGCCCAACAAACACATCAGATAAGGCCAGCATTGCTTGACAGAAGAAAGCCAAAAGATGTCTCACTCCCCGACCCCACACCCACCTGGGCCACCGCCCTGCCCTGCCCTGCCCGTAGGCTGCATTTTAGATCACACACGAACTTTTAAAAACTTGAAAGATCTAAAAGTAGCATGCATAATTACAATTTATAAAACTGTCATAAATCAAGAAAGAATTCCTCCCTTCAATTCTCCAGTCCTACTCCTCCTAAGGAAACCACTGCTAAATGTTTACTGTAAGTTCTTCCCTGCTCTTTATTTTTTTTTTAATGTTTATTTATTTATGAGAGAGACAGAGAGAGAATGAGTGGGGACGGGGTAGAGAGAGAGGGGGGGAGAGAGAGAATCCCAAGCAGGCTCGGAGCTGTCAGCACAGAGCCCAAAATGGGACTTGATCTCATGAAACGTGAGATCGTGACCTGAGCCGAGATAAGAGCTGGATGTTTAACTGACTAGGCCACCTGGGTGCCCCTCTTCCCTGCTTTTTAAACTGTTTTCAGACATGGCTGTGTATGAGTGTACATACATAAGTTATAATCATTTAAAATATATTAGTTTACAGCTCAATTTTTTTTTTTTTTTTTACTTAATAATATATTCTGGACATCTCTCCAAGTCACTACCTTATTCTTTTAATGACTGCATAGTATCCCATCATAAGATCATGTCAAAATTTATTGAACCAGTCCCCTGTTGACGGACATTTAGGCTGCTTCAGATTTTCTGTTGTTAGGTGCACCCTGCAGCAGTCATTCTTGTGGGTATATCTTGACATGTGCCGGATTCTGTTTAGAGGAGAGGTCCCTAGTACAGGGAATGCTGGGTCATAGGGTATGTGCAGCTTAAATGTTCAAAGATGCTGCTAAATTACACTCCAAAGTGGCCGCGCTGATTTGCACGCCTACTAACCGTGTATGAGAGCTCTGCTTCTCCCTAAGGCAACGTTCTGCCACCGTCCAGAAAATCAGTCACAACACACTTTCCACTGAGAAGATGAGTTGACGGTGCAGGGAGCTCTGAAGGGAAGAGCGAGTCAGGGAATGTTGGGGTCCCCAGGGACGATCCAGGACAGCAGGGTCCATGGGTGTAGAAAGGGGGGTACTACAGAGAGAAGGGGACAAGTTTTACCAGCGCCATTAGTGTCTTGGAGATGCCTGGGTGGAGTAAGAGGGAGCGGGACGTCTTCATTCTATTTTCTGGGAAGAAGAGGCCACGTGTTTTGGCAGTGCTTTCCGGTTGGTGGTTTTGCTAATGGACAAAGGGTGCCCTTTGGAGATCTGCCAGTCTCAGTGTGGCTGTCATTGGACAAATGCATCGCTTAGGCCAGGGGGTGTATTGGTCTGGTGACCCCGGACCAAATTTTCTGCCCCAATTTTGATTTCAAATATCCTGCCCCCATGTGAACCGGTGTGCTCTAATCACAGTGTTTCTGATTTGTAAAGGGAGAGATTCTATCCGGCAGTCCCCCCACTGCCGTGCCCCCCACCCCGCCCCCGCCACAGTGCCCAGAAAGGCCTCGCTGCTGCCTGCGTGTCCTCAGGCAGCTATGAATCAGGACCACGAAGACTTTCCGACTAGCTCTGGAAAGTCCTTTTGATGTGCATTCAGCTTCTTCTATCTTTTCCTTCTTCATTTGTGCTCAGAAACTGAAAGATTCTGCTGCACAAATTAGCCGGGGGCTGTGGGAAGCCTCAGCAAATTCTATGCCCCTCCCTGTCCTCCATAACAGTTTTGAAAGCTCAGGTTTTGTAAAATGTAATGTGCACTAAATGGCTTACAATGAATCTTTGGCCACCTTAGCCAAGTAGATCTTCCTAAAGGTGCTTGGCTTTTTTGTCTTTTTAAACATGATGAAATACATTTAGACAATCAATAGAATCCTGGTTAAATAAATTAGAGTACACTGTGCAGCTATTAAAAAGAACAAGGCAAGGGCACCTGGGTGGCTCAGTTGGTTGGGTGTGTGACTTCAGCTCAAGTCATGATCTCACAGTTCGTGGGTTCGAGCCCCACATGGGGCTCTGTGCTGACAGCTCAGAGCTTGGAACCTGCTTCGGATTCTGTGTCTCCCTCTCTCTCTCTGCCCTTTTCCTGCTCACGCTCTGTCTCTCTACCTCTCTCAAAAACAAATAAACGTTAAAAAATTAAAAAAAAGAAAAAAAGAACAAGGCACTTCTGAGTTCATACAGAACCATCTCCAACATATACTAGGTGAAAAAAAAAAAAAAAAAGGAAGATGCCAAATAGTGAACACAGCCTGAACCATTTTTAAGAACAGAAAAGTATGTATGTGCTTAGAATGTGTAGGTATCCTGGAAGGTGACCCTGGATACTGGTAACAATGATTGCCTCTGGGGACACTGCAGGATGACAGGGGAGGGAGGCTTTTTTCTCACTCTATACCCTTTATACATTTCAAATTCTGTACCTTGGCATGTATTACCTATGAACGAAATATAAAATTTAAAAGAACTTTAAAAAGTAAAAACAGGGGTGCCTGGGTGGCTCAGTCATTTAAGCATCCAACTTTGGCTCAGGTTATGATCTCATAGTTTATGGGTTCGAGCCCCACGTCGGGCTCTGTACTGACTGTTCAGAGCCTGGGGCCTGCTTCAGCTTCTGTGTCTCCCTCTCTCTCTGCCCCTCCCCTCCCCTGCCTCTCTCTCTCTCTCTCTTTTTCAAAAATAAATAAACATTAAAAAAAGTAAAAATAAAATTATAAAAATTTTAAAAGCCCCACCTAAAGATAAAGGACAGGTGGATAGAAGAGAGTATGTTTTAAACAGAAGCATGCAATTTTGCTTTGTGATGGCATATAGCATTTTCCTTTTTGATCTGCAGGCCTACAGCTGATGGTGTCCAATGAGAGTTTCATCTTTGACAATGTCACCATCTCCCTGACATGGCTCCTCTCTCCCTACATTGGAAACCTTTCGTGTATAATTAGTACAGGAGATGGCCACACTTTTGATCCCTACTACCCTCCCAGGTAAGAGGAATCTCTGAGCCTTGAGTCAGGATGTATCAGTCAGCTTCTGCTGCATAACAAAACATCCCCAAACTTAGTAGCTTACAATAATATTTATTATTCCTCATGGTTCTTTGGGTCAGCTAGGTGGCTTTGCTTATCTGGGCCAGCCTTGCTGGGGGCGCATGGCCTCAGAAGTCCTCATGTATATGTCTGGTGGTCAGCTGAGTGTTGGCTAGGGGCATGTATTGCATAATAATCACCCAACAGGCTAGTCTAGCCTCACTGGCATGGTGGCAGAGGGTTTCTAGCAGCAACTGAGAACAAGGCCTACTGTGCAAGCATTTTTAAAATCTCTACTTGTATCACATTTTCTAATGTCTCATTGGCCAAAGCAAGTTCCATGGCCACACCCAGGCTCAACAGGTGGAGAAACAGACTCCACCTGTTGATGGAAGAAATGGCAGAGCCACAGTACAAAGGGGCATACGTACAGAAATGGCATGCACAGGTTTTCTCACTATGGAGGCCACATGAACAGTCTTGAAGAGCTGGGTCCTTATGGGTTCGCTCTGTGTAGAATCGCTCCTGGGTCACTGTCCAAGGAGTTGGTAATGATGTGAAAAAGATGCTCGCATGGATGTGGGAATGTTTTCTGTTGGCAAGAATAACAAACAATAATAGTAGCAATATTCATAACAGTCCAGCCAAGCAGCTTTCACATATAATCTCATGTAATCCTCACTACAAACCCTATCAGCTAGATCTATGCTATCCGGCAGAACAGCCACTTGCCACATGAGCTATTGGGTATTTGAAATGTGGCAGGTCTTAATTAAGATATGCTGTTAATTAAAACACACGTGGGATTTTGAAGATTTCATCCGCCCCTCACCAACCTCTCATAAAAGATGTAAAGTACCTCACTAATTTTTAAATATTGATTACATGTTGAAATGAAAGTATTTTGGATATATTGGGTTAAAGAAAATAAATTATTAAAATTAATTTTATGTATTACTTATTCAATGTGGCTCTTAGAACATACACATGGGTGGCTCACACTGTATTTCTATTGGACACTGTTGAGCTAGGTAACTGTTATTTTGTTTTCATGGACAAAGCAGCTGAGGCTCAGAGAGGTATAGTGGCAGCGCCCAAGACACACAGCTTGTGAGTGGCAACATGGTGACACAAGCCAGGACTGTCTGGCATAAAAGCTGAGGCCCTCAAGCCCCTGGCACATTACACGGCATGAAGGCATTATACTCTGCATCCCCTAGGAGAGCCGAACCTCCCCAGCCTGATGGCAGCTGAACTCAATTCATAACATTTCCAAGTCCTACTGGGCCTGGGGTAAGCTCCATTCTGCTCTGCTGGGTGCCCCCAGAATGATCCAGAATTTCCAGATCCTCAGTGGGTTGGGGGCTTCTTACAGCGGTCTTCAGTTCAACATGAATCCCCAGGGAAATAATGGAGGCTCAAAAGCCCCTTTCCTAACCCTAAACATCTGCAGTTCTACCCTGTGGGGAGCTAGAGGTTCTGAATCCAGTCCTGCACATGCTCAGCATTGCTGGAAGCCCTGGCTGGGGTGGGGCCAAGAGGGGCCAGCCCTGTCCCTGGCCCAATTCTGCCCCAGTGAGGGAAAGTTTCACACTCAACAGTCCTCTGAGGCCTCAGACATTGTGCTGTGCCGCCATATAAAATGGCATGTCCAGAAGCTAAGGTTCTAATCCCAGCTGCTGCTAACGTGTGTGAGACAATTTCTGGTCTTGGGTTTCCGTTCCCTTCCCTGTCGCATTAATATTGGTGGCTGCCTTGTTTCGTGGAGTAAAATGAGAAATTACATGTGAAGATGCTTTGGGGGAAATGTTACAAAATGTTACAAAAGTGATACAAATACCCATGACCTTGTTGTGCAGGTTTCTTCCTGCTTGCTACCATGGCAATGAAAAAACAGCAAATGCTAAGCTATACAATCGTCCGGCCCCCAAATTTTAAACAACTTGCATTTGGCATTCGTCAAAATCGACTGTCGGTTGCCCTGCTAAGACCTTTAGTTACACAAAGACATTCCAGTAATAAACAAACAAACAGTAGCTACAAATTGGAGCAAATGAGACAAAATGCTAGTATTAGTCAACTCTGGATGGTGAGGCCAAAATACTCAGCTTCTTCTGTCATTTTGGTTAATTTTGGGAGATCCATTTCCAATGCTTCCTTATCAGCAATAGCAGCCTCAGCACTCAACCTAGAATATTAAAAATGGCATGAATTTTAAGTTCACAGAAGTCACATACCTTGCGTGAATGTCGCTGTGCTTTTATGTGTTTGTACAGCATCCTACTTTTGCTTAAGTCATGATAAGCTAAGACCTAAATGGGCCACTTCCTCTCTACTGCAGACAAACAACATGAGCTAATGGGGAATCCGATCTGAAATAGAAACAACATAATAAAGTCAAAGGATTTCTCCTTTAGATTCTTCTTGCCTTGCACTCCCGATGTATTGTGTTCATTTGAATGTCAAGCTGTTTTGTTTTACTGTTTGTTGTAGGAAACTTTATACGTTTCTGTAATTTATTGTGTGCCTCCTGGACCAATTTGCGAAGGTGAAATTTGTCCTTGTCCAGCTTTGGGTGTCTCAGCGCCACCTACCGACAGATCAGGGGATTGCCATCATTTTGGGGTCTATTCAGAGCTGCCTCCACACGTAGCTGAATCTGGAGAGGCCGCTTCCCTGGAAATCGGTATTTCGTAAGACAGAACAAAATCCAGAGGGACCTAGATGTACACAGGATGTTGGGAAGCTCAGAGGAACTATGTGGAAGGCTATGGTCATAAAGGACTGAAGTCTTTCGGGGGAACCAGGCAGGAGCTATGGAGGTAGAGAAAGGGACAACAGGGATGTGAAGGGGCGTGGCCTCCTCAGGTAACTGCGAGCACCTCGCGTTACAGCAGGAGTTCGGGGTATGTGGGGGAAAATGAAAGATGCTGCTGGAAAACTCAAAAGGAGTCCGCTGATAAAGGGCCTTGATATGCCAGCCAGTTTGGAGAAATTGTTTTTAGGAGAACATGTAGGTTGGGCACCAGGAAACTGATTTGGGGTACAGCAGGTTTCCCGGGGGAAGGGGTTCCAGGATGGAGCAGGGGCAGAAGGTACAATGGGATGCACTAGCAACACAGGCCCTTCCCATCCCTACAGAGAATTCTAGAGCCGGGACCTGCCGGGACTGAGGCAAGAGAGTGGAACCTCAGCGCTCTGGCACAGAGCAGCCATGGGATGCAGGAAGGCACCCTGCAGGGGAGGAGGGGGGGAGGCTGCTCCCTTTGGCCAAGGGGAATTCCTGGAGATGGATCCATCTGTGAGGCCTTGGCCACTAACACACCAGAGTGCTGGGGAGGGGCAGACCTCGGCCTTGAAGTGCAGAATCTGGGTGACTCACATCCACTACAGAGGATACTTAAGAATATTTAGGCCATTTGGATACATGATCTGTGATTGTTAATACTGTTGCAAGAGTTACTAATAGTCACTGGGTAATTTTAAGGGCTAAATGGGACTACAAAGAAGAAAATAATTGGCACAGAGTTGATTCTTAAAAATGGGTAATTGTTGCCATTATGTTAATATTACAGAAGCATATACTACTTTTATTTTTAAGATGGCATAAATGCCATCCTATTATACACACACACACACACACACAAAACCCCACAATATCTGAGCCTATCACATACCAGGTACTTACTCAGCCATGGTCTCATTTAAACCTCACAACGACCCAGCCAGGAATGGCTCTCACCTCATTGTATGGACAAGGGAGCTGAGACTCAGAGTGGTTGAGTCATTAGGTTACACAGGTGACTGACAGAGCTCTGGAGACCTCACTTCCGGCTTTCTACCCTTTCCATTCTACCACACTGCCCAATTTGGTCAGGTGGCTTTATCCACCAAGCCGGCTAGCAACTTGTGAGTGACATTAACAAAATGGCACAGACCTTGGTATTCTTAACAATTGGACATTCTGAGCAAAGATAAAAAACGTGAGCTCTCTTCCCCATTTTCTTTCTTTTTAAAGAAAAGCCACATCCCATTAATGTAAACGATCAAAGCAGCATGTGCAAATCAGTGAGGGGCAGTGTCTTCGACTAAGTTTTAAACTTTTTATTGAGGCATAAATATGTACAAAAAACTGCACAAAAAGATACAACTCAGTTAACTTCTACAAAGTGAAATGTCTGCACCCATGTAACTCGTACTCAGATCAAGAAACAAAATATGACCAGTCTCCCAAGAGTCCTCCCGGGGCCCCCAAGTCTACCAATTTCTACCACTGTCGATCAGCGTGACCCGTTCGAAACTTCTATAAATGGAATCATAAAGTGTATTCTCTTTTGTGTCTGACTTCTCAACAGTACATTTTTGAGATGTATCCTATTGTTGTGTATAACTGTGACTTCTTTGTTCTCATTTCTGTAGAACATTCCATCACATGGATATCCCTTGCTTTACTTATTCCTTTCTAGTGCCGGTAGTCCTTTTGGGTGGTTTCCCCTTTGGACGATTACAAACTATGTGGCTGTGAACATTGGAGCGCATGTCTTTGCTGCATTTCTGTTGGGTTTGCACCCAGGAATGGCACTGCTGGCTCATAGGATCATCAAAAAATGTTAGGTTGTTGCCTCCGTTGCTTTGTACTCCGAGCAGATCTTCCCTTTGTTGGCAGCAGTTTCTAAAAGCACTTTGCTGTCTTCTGCCTCCAGTGAGATCACTGGGAGACAAATCAGGAAAAGTCCGTTTCTCTGCCTTTCGTTCCTGAGCACTTTCAGTTGGCAGGAGAGCTCAAGGAATGGAATGAGTCACTTTTCCCAGCAAGATCCCTGAAAAACAGCCCAGATTTTGCTATTCAAAACCATCCTTCCCGTGACTGAAAAGAGTTAGTGTTTTCTTGTTCTGAAATCCATGTGGTCTGTTATTAGTAGAGCCTACTCCAGCGTCCTTTTGATTGGTGTTTGCTGGTGAAACTTTTATACTTTTACTTTTAACCTATCCATGTCATTATATTTATTAATTTTTTTTAAGTTTATTTATTTATTTTGAGAGAGAGAGTGAGGGTGAGAACATGAGCAGGGAGAGAGAGAGAGAGGGAGGGAGAGAATCAGAGAGAATCCCAAGCAGGCTTTGTGTTGTCGGTGCAGAGTCCAATGCAGGGCTCAGTCCCATGAACCATGAGATCATGACCTGAGCTGGAACCAAGAATCAGCTGCTTTAACTGACTGAGCCACCCAGGTGCCCCCTTATCATTATATTTAACGTGGACTTCTTATAGACAGTCTATGGTTGAGAATTTTTTTTAATCCCATCTGGCACAATAATTGGTGTGTTTGGATCATTTATAAGTAATATAATTATTGATATAGTTGGATTTAGGTCCACTATTTTCTTGTTTTCTGTTTGCTCCTCTGTTTATTTTCCCTCTGTTCTTCTCCTCTCTTGCCTTCTTTTGGATTATTTGAATATTTTTAGCATTCCATTTTAACATATCTATCAGCTTTTTTGGTTATAGATCTTTTTATTACCTTTTTAGTAGTTAGTTGCTTCATGGATTACAATATACATATCCAACCTTACACAGTCTATATGGAGTTCATATTTTACTTCATTAAAATGTTGAAGCTTTACTGGCATATAGGTCCTTTTGCTCACCCTCCTCTATATTATAGTCGTCATATGTAGGACATTTACATATATTGAAAATCTCTCTCTCTCTCTTTTTTTTTTTTTTTTTTAGTTTATTTACTTTTGAGAGAGAGAGAGAGCAAGCACAAGCCAGGGAGGGGCAGAGAGAGGGAGACACAGAACCCAAAACAGGCTCCAGGCTCTGAGCTGTCAGCACAGAGCCCAATGAGGGGCCTGAATTTACCAAAATGTTACCAGTCTATGAATTTACCAAAATATTTACCATTACTTGTGCTCTTCCTTCACCCTTGAAATTCAAAGTTTCCCTCTGGTACCATTTCTTTTCTGCTGGAAAAACTCCCTTAAACACTTCTTTTATAGACTTTTTGGCAACAAATTATCTTAGAGGATTTCTTTATTCCTGAGAACGTCTTTATTTTGCTTCACTTCCTGGAGGACATTTTTGCTGGATATAGAATTAGGTGTTGACAACTCTTTTCTTTCAACATTTAAAGATGTTGTCACTGTCTTCGGACTGCCATGCTTTTGAAGGGAAATCTACAGTCAGTCACATCACTGTTTTCTTTACATGCAATGTGTCATTTTTGAGGCTTGTTTTGAGATTTTTTTTTTCCTTTACCTTTGATTTTCAGCAGTTTTATTACTGTATGTGTGGGCACGGTTTTCTTTAACTTTTCCCCTTTTTGGGGGGATCCATGGAGTTTCCTGAATCTTTACATGTATGTATTTTGCCAAACTGGGTAAGTTTTCACCCATTATTTCTTCAGTGTATTTTTCTACACCGATCTATCTCTTCTCACTGGTCCTCCCATGACACAACTGCTTTCTTTTTTGATATTGTCACACAGGTTGCTGATACTCTACTCATTTTTAAAAATTTAATATTTTATTAAGATGTCAATTTATTTAATCTTTTCTTCAGCTTAGATACTTTCTCTTGCTCTTTGTTCAAGTTCACTGACTTTTTTCTGTCATCACTATTCTGCTATTGCAAGCATCCAGTGAATTTTTTATTTCAGATACTGTTTACTTCTAAAATTTTCATTAAAAAAAAAAAGTTTCTGTTTCTCTGCTTAGAATGTCTGGCTTTCCATTCATTTAAAGAGGGTTTACTTTTATGTCATGGAGCATGGCTGAAATAGCTGATTTCAAGCCTGTCTGATAATTCCAACTCCTGAGTCACCTGAAAGGTGACATCCATTATGTTTTCACTTGAGATTGGGTCAGATTTTCCTCATTCTTTGTGTATCATCAAGCAATTTTGGATGATATTCTGGACATTTTGATAGTAGGTTCTGAGACTTTGGATCCAGTTAAAATCCTCTGGAAAATAGATTTTTGTTTTGTTTTAGCAGGCAACCCACCTGGTTAGGTTCAGACCACACTTTATGACTTGCCTTCTGTGAGTGGTGGTTCCCATGTTGGTGTCGTTTCCAAACCTGTTTGGGTTGGCCCCACTCATGGGGCACTCAGGATGGTGTTATGTTGTAGTCTGACTCAAACAAAGCCTTGGCTGTGTGTCTTTGGCTCTACTTTGCACGTGCATAATATGTGAGTGAGCTCATAGTTTGTGCTGGGTTGTTCATGGAAGTGGGGGCCCCTCCTCTCCACATCTCTCATTTTCAGGGTCTCCCCCACAATCTTCAGCTCCCACACATCTCTCTTCACGGCTCCTCTGGATACAAAGATGGGTTTTCTCTTGGGAATTAGGTGTCTGCATCACCCTACACTGTCAGTGCAGCTCCAAGAGGGAGAACAGCCTAGGGCATGGCCAAAAGAGAGAAAAAGAGAAATGACACAAAACAAAACCAGGTATTATTTGCTGTGCCCTCAGACCCACTGGGTCTCTTTTCCTGGTTCTCTTGGCCAAACAGAGGGGATTTCTCTTGGGGGTTTTGTTTTCTTCATTCATTGTACAGTTCCATGACTCAGGGTACCCTAGGGACAAAGTCAAGATATAAAGGAGATTAAAAAAGAAAAAAAGACACAAAACAGGAAAGTCCCATCTTTACGAGTAATTCTTTTTTTTTTTTTTAATTTTTTTTTTTCAACGTTTATTTATTTTTGGGACAGAGAGAGACAGAGCATGAACAGGGGAGGGGCAGAGAGAGGGAGACACAGAATCGGAAACAGGCTCCAGGCTCTGAGCCATCAGCCCAGAGCCTGACGCGGGGCTCGAACTCACGGACCGCGAGATCGTGACCTGGCTGAAGTCGGACGCTTAACCGACTGCGCCACCCAGGCGCCCCTACGAGTAATTCTTAAAGCCTGGGCTTTCCTCCCCAATCTGTCTGCTGTTGTTTACTTTTCAGAGTCCTCAGCAAGTTTCTTTTTGAATTTTGCCTAAAGCCGTAATCAATGGAAGAGACAGGTGGTGGCTTTACTCTTGGCAGGCGCCAAAAATCCAGCTACCGTTTTGCAAGCCTTTTCACAAATATGCTCATTTGTCAAATATTTCTCAGCACGCCTTCTATGCCAGGCGCTGTGTTAGGTGCCGGATTTATAACAGAGATCTAGAAAGACACCGTCTGTGCAGACGACCTAGCGGGGAAGAATGCCAGTGGCGGAGCAAGCACACAAGGAATGAGTGTCACCCAGGAGAAGCAGCCGAGCTACAGCATTGCCTTTATGGGGAACCTAAGGAGGGCTTCCCTGAGGAGGTGATGTTTAAGCTGAGCACCAAAGGAAGAGCATGAGTGTGAGCAGACAGACGAGCCGAGAGCCTTCCCAGCAAAGAACAGCACACCTGCAGGCCCTGAGGCAGACGGGAGGTGGCACATTCCAGGAACCAAAAAGAGGGCAGAGCGGACATACAGCTGGGAGGGGTGTGGCAGGAGATGGGGGTGAGGTCAAGAAGGGAGGTCATGTGGGTCTTTATGGGCCACATTGGCGATTTTCAATCAGTTCTCTCGGCGAAATGAGAAGCCAAGCTTCTATCATTCTGGTACATTTGGAATATGACCCCATTTTACAGATGGGGAAAATATGGTTCAGAAAGGTAGGCTGGGGCATAGCATTTTACAGACGAGGGGGATTTATGTGAGCCACAGAGGGAATAAATAGCAGAAAAAGGACGCGTAACCAAATATTCAACTCCCTGATTGGTCACTGCTATTTCTTCCACTCCCACCTGCTCTAGACATCTCAACGTAACCTTTGTGAATACCAAGGGCTTGGTCACGTAGCATCTCTTTCTTCACCTGTTTATCTTTGCAGGGCAGGGGAGGTGCAAGGTAGGTGAGTGCATATGTGCACACGTGTGTGAATGCATGTGTTTGTGTGTCCCCAACATGGCCAACACTAACTATTGCTGGCAGTTTATCCAGCAACGTGACCCACCAGTTCACAGTCCCTGGGGAATTTATTGTGTTTGCCGAGTGCACAACCAGTGAGTGGCATGTGATGGCTCAGAAGCACGTGACAATCCGAGACAAGACGGAAAGGCTCAGCGTGACTGGGTGCTCCGGCCTGTCGACGTTGGGAGCCAGCCCTCTCTGCCGCACTGTCTTCGGGGAACCTCTGTGGATTCAGGTGGTACTTGATGGAGGTGAGTCTACAGAAATGGTCAAGGTCAAAGCAACCTTGATTTTCCCCAGATCTATCCATCCAACTCCCAGGCTTTAATAAATACTAACAGCACTCATGTATCTAGTTAGTTTTTTAGCTATTCAACTTATTTAGCACCTCGTGCGTGCCCGGAACTGGTCTGAGTACTCCACGTGTGCTAGCCCACCCAGTATGTACTATTATTATCTCCATTTTACAGATGAAGAAATGGAGGGAAGGTTCAGGAATTGGCTTGAAGTCACAAGGCTTGTAAGCTAAGTGAAGCTCTCTGCCTTCCGATGCCCTTCTTTACCCACAGTCCCATCAGAACAGAATTTCCAAGTCACTCCTTGTTAGGGAACCTGAATAGGACCGGGAGAGCTACCAGCTGGGCCTGGGCCCATCTCAGTGAGGCCAGCATTGACCAGCCTGGTACAATGATGGTCCCTTGTGATTGGTCAGTTTCTTTTCTGATTGGTCAGAGAGGCCATTTTAATTGGTCATGTCCATTCTGACTAGTCAAAGTGTCCTTTCTGATTGGTCACAGCATCTACTCTGATTGGTCACAGTGCTCATTCATTCTGATTTATCACAACATCCATCCTCTTTGGTTGGGACCCATGTAGTTTCAGTTGTTAAACATTCCGAATATCACCCCTCTTCTCAGTAGAGACCCTACCAACGAAGACCCACCCGTACCTGAGGCAGCATCTTTATTCCAGGGCACAGGTCTGGTTTGAGATCCGGACAGAAGCCTGCTGGGCTAAACCGTGTGGCACAGAGCTGCAGAGGTGAGGACATGGCTCAGTCCGACCTCACAGCTCCTGGAGCCTCACCCAGCAGAGATATGATGGAGCTTAAACACGGGGTCCTTAAACAGTCCTCGGGGCTCCTCTCTGTCTCGGTGTGCTTGTTGGCCAAAGACGGCTGCTATGTGCACCAGGGAAACATAAAATAATCCTTCATTTATGTTTTTATCCTACAAACATAATTGCCTACTGTTTGCCAAGTGTGGGGAGAGGGAGCAGTAAGCATGAGTGTCAGAAGGTACCATCATCATTGTCTTTATCATTGTCATTAGCATCGTCATCGCTCAAACAAGAAATACCCTAGCTTGGCTTCTGTTGCAAAGAATCCTAATTTGGTGGTTTAAATCAGATTTTTAGAGTCAACCACAGTATTTAGCATCCAGGTAGGACAGCCGGCCCCAACCTATAAGGGAGCCGCATCTTAAGGTGAACAGGCTGAGTGTTCCCGGGGAGCAGGGTTTCAGGCGGTCTGCCACGGAGGTGGAAGGAAATGACTTCACCTGCTCCTGCTTAGGACAAGACTCGAGGCTAATTCTCAGGCATAAAAATCAGCCACGCCTCGGGAGACGCTCCTGTGTTAGCCTTCCACCCTCCAAGGACAAACCTGTCCTCATATTTTCATTACAAACCGTTAAGTTTATGGGTAACACACGCAGAGCACGGAGCAGAATATGCAGATGAGCAGAGAGGACTCAAAAAGAAAAATCACTCATGAACCCCGTACTCAGAGATCATCACTGTTAAGACTTGGGGGTGGGCCTATCCTTCCGCATGTCTTTATGGCTATACCATCTCCATGTCTATGTCCAGAATCTGACCTTGGAGCTTGGGTCTCCCCCGTCTCAGTACAATCTACTGCATGGCTGTTGCCAACATTCTTAAATATCTCTCACCCCACATAGGAAGAGGGGTGACTTACACTGTGTTGTCGGGTAATACAACCCTGGCTGAGTTCACCACACCAAGCGGCCTGCTACCCTACAATCTGACCCTGGACAGAGCAGCCCAGCAAAGGATGGGCCCAGGGATGCACCACCTGGAGATCCGAGCCACCAGCAACACCACTTCTGCACCCTCCTGGAACATCACAGTCTCCTTCACGGAGCCTCTGTCAGGGCTATGGGCCTCCTGGGCTTCCGACCACTTGGAGCTTGGACAAGACCTACTGGTCAACGTCTCGGTGGCTCGTGGTGCACCGGAGAGACTGACCTTTGAAGTGGCAGGACTCAATGCAACCTTCTCCCATGAAGAAGAGAGTCTCCAGGGACCATTTGGGATTTACCCTGTGGCAGTTCCTCTTGAAGGTATTTGGGGTGGGTGGGTCTCCTCCCAAATTTCCCTCCTCTTTCCTTCCCGACTCGGTGTCCAGGGTCCCGCCAGCCTGTGTCTGTGTGTCCTGAACACAAAGGGGGTTCACAGCATCCAGCCTGGGGCATAAAATAAGAAGAGACATCTGATCTGCCCTCAGAGCTTAGAATCACAGGGGTTCTCACTTGTGGCACCTCTAACATTCGGGGCTGGATCGTTCTTTGCTGTGGGGATTGTCCTGCACACTGTAGGGTGTTTACTGGCATCTACCCACTGGATATCAGTAGCACCAGCCTCCTAAGTACAACCAGAAATGCCTCCAGACATTGCCAACTGTCCCTGGGTAGCAAAATCTCCCCCACTGAGAACCAATGGAGGAGAGTTGGAAGGATTCCAATTTTTCCATCATTTCTAGAGGAGAGTGTGGTTCAGGGGGGATCTGCAGTCCATGCCCTTCAGGGAGCGAGAGATAAAAGGGTGGGAGAGGGAGGGACAAGAGAGGGAGAGTCAAGATGCTGGCTGGAACAGAGATAGGGTGACAGACTGGCTGGCACCACCAAGGGAGGAGACTAGAGGAGACATTTGCATTTAATCTGGAGAGAACAGAGAGTCCTTCAGGGCAATGTGGTGAAGTCAGCAGCCAGGAATGTGATGAGGGTCACAGAGTCCCCAGCCCACCCAGAACCCTGCCTACCTTCCCCGCCAAGGATCTCAGAAGTCTGTAAGAGAGGTGGAAGTACTGTGCCGGGGTGGGGCTACAGTGCCCTCAAGCAGCAGATTTAGCAAAAGAGATAGGTTAAATGACAGGTTTCAGAAGAAAACCATTACAACTTTGCCAGGTATCAAAGGTCCAGCTTGGAACAAGAGGAATCCAGAGTGAAATGAAATGACAAAGGAAAACATACACACTATATAGGCTATAAATCAAATGCAAATTAATTTTTGTTTTCTACAAAAGCCGCTTGGCAGGGGATAATAGATAAAATCTCTACATGCCCTGTGAAGTTGTGGCTCACTCTTAGATGGTAAGTAGTCCTCTTTTCCCCACAAGAAAAACAGATTTGGATGAGATAAAGGGGGTGAAGAGGAAGGAAAGGGCACCAGGCAGGGCAGGAGGACCCTCACTTGTCAGCGCTGGCCCGGTCCTGGCCAGCCTTGCTTGCCAACCAACGCTCACCAGCCCAGCAGATGTTTGCAGCTGCCTCTTGCAGGAGCTTCTGTGGGCTTCTGAGGCCCCTGCTAGGTCCCTGAGTCGGGGAGGGGGGCAAGACAAACATCTGGTCCTCAGAAAACTCTCACCTTTTCTTTGACCAGCTACCGGTAGTTTTCCAAACGCAGGAATGCAGCCCTTTCCTGCCCCCACTCTCCCTCTCACTCCACCCCGTCACAGACCATCCTTCAAGAGTATGAGAAAGGAACCTGTCCATGGGGGTCCCGGATCTGAAAGAGCACATATCCACCTGTCCCAGGGTCCCCTCTGATGAGCTCCTGTCTGGGCTCGAGACAAGAAGGTAGCACCCACCACCTTTCCCCATGAGGGAGGAGGGTGGGATACACACATACCCAGAATCTTACAAATCCTTCTCTCCCCTCTCTGCGCCTCAGTCTTTTGAAAGTCCTGTCATGTCCTTTCTTCTGCTGGGATCTCCTCTCTAATCTGACCAATGAGCACTACTCGTCCTTTGAACTTTAGCTTTAGCCTTGCCATGAACCACGATCAGTGCAGTGACTCCCTACTACATGTCCACAATGCCCCCGTGCCAATTCTTGCCACGGTTGGCACTTGGTCTCCTGCAAGCATACTAGACTATAAGGACCTTGGAGACAAAGACCATGTTTCATTCACCTCTGTGTCCCAGAGCCTTGCACCATGCCTGGTATGCAACAGGGGTCCATTAAATGCTCAGGATGAAAGATTCAAATGCTGCTGTCAGCGGACCAGGAAGCATAGCTTGGGAGAGCTGTCTCAACACAAGTTAAACAATTTATTGCAACACCCTTAAGTCTCCACCTTTTGCATTACAGGCACCTTTCTGGTCACGGTGACGGTGAGGAATGCCTTCTCAAACCTGAGTCTGGAAATTGGAAGCATCACTGTTTCAGGCAAGGAATTTCTGCAAGGGGCTATAAAACTCAGGACCAGCAGTCTGGGTCATCGCACTTGCTCGGGATCCAGGGAGGGACTCTTCAAAACAGAGCTCTGAATGCTTACCTTGCTCTGTAGATTTTAAGAATTCTCTGGTTACTCTAAAGCGCTGTCATGTACACAGTAAAACATTCAACCGCTGTTACAGAATTCTAAAACATCCGAGTTTGCTGCTTTAGGCTCCAAGCAACAGGAGGCCCCACCTAGGTGGCTTTAAGTTTGGTCGTTATGATGTCACATACTGAGAAGTTAGGAGGTAAGTAGTTCCAGGATCGGTTCAGCGGTCCAGTGTCACCGGCAGGGACCCAGGCTCAGTCTGCTATTCTGTTCTGCCACCCTCAGAGTTTCTGCTTTGCCCACAGGGTTGCATCTCATCAACATGGCTGCTGCGGTTCCAAACATCGCAGGTCAACCCAGAATCATCCAGCAGCTGCACAAGCCCGTTTCCCCCTCTGTAGCTCTTGTTACTAGGAGGGAAGTTTTCCCCACAAGTCCCCAGCATTCTTCTCCTCAGATACCATCAGCCGGGGTCACGTACCCTAGCTCTAAGGGGTGCTGGGAAGCAAGTATCCAGCAAGTATCCACCCTGGCTGTAAGGGGTGCTGGGAAGAAAGTATCTAGCACCTCCAGCTCTGTGGGAGAAGGTGGATTCTGGCAGCCAAGTAGAAGGGTGGGGTAACGGCTGGTAGGTAGGCAGCCAACAGTAGCTGAAAGTCACAGAGCTGAAAGTCCACAGCAAATGTGTTTGCCAGGACTCTTTGTGTAGCAAGGGACAGAAAAGCAGTTCAGACTGGCTCAACTCAAAGGGAAATTTTATCAACTCACAAAAAGAAAAGGCCAGGGGCACCTGGGTGACTCAGTCGGTTAAGCGTCTGACTTTGGCTCAGGTCATGATCTTGCAGTTCGTGAATTCAAGCCCCACATAGGGCTCCGTGCTGACACCTCAGAGTCTGCAGCCTGCTTCAGATTCTGTGTCCCTCTCTCTCTGCCCCTCCCCCCGCTTACACTCTGTGTCTCACTCTCTCAAAAATAAGTAAACATCAAAAAATTAAAAAAAGAAAAAGAAAGAAAAAGAAAGAAAGAAAGAAAGAAAGAAAGAAAGAAAGAAAGAAAGAAAGAAAGAAAGAAACGGAAAGGCAAAGTCCAGGGTTTAGGCACAGCTAGATCCAGTCACTCAATATTGTCAGAAATCTGCCTCTTCTCATCTCTTGGTTCTATGTTGGCTTTATTCTGATTCCCTCTTCCCATCAGTAGCAAGATGGCCCCAGGCTTCAGTCCTTACTTAACCCTAGAGGAGAAGGAGTCCCTCTTTGCTGACATTTCTAGCCCAAGTCCTGAGGCCCCCTTTACTAGTCCAAGCTTGGTTCATGTTCCCTCCTGGACCCAGTACTGAGACCAGGGGAAAGTGGTATTCAGTTTGGGGAGACCAGGATCACATGCCCACCTGGAACATGCTGTAGGGGTGGCGTCACCCAAGCCAAGGACTGAGAGCAGGGGAGGGATGTTTCCCGGGGGAAAGAATCGCCCGTAAGTGCTGTTACCAAAACAAGGGGGCACGGATGCCTGGATGGGGGACAAAACCATCAGATGTCTGTGCAATTGTCCACAGCGCTCCTTTTCCACTTATGGAATGTGAGGCCCAGAGAGGTGAACTGACTTCCCAAAAGTCACTCAGCTAATTCATGGCAGGATCAGAGGCAGCAATTACGTCTCTTGATTCCTTCCTTCCGGGTTATTGGCCCATCTGCCTTAAGATTAAGAAGGAATCTCTGTGTCTGGCATCTTAGCTTTGCTTTACATAATTTTATAGACCTTCGAAGTGAGAGTTCTCAGAATGAGAATTCACTGGGAGAGAATTTTGTAAAGATCAACAGTACCCAGATGTTAACCAGGACACGAGAGCTTAATGACTCCCCCGGATCTGCCAGTGCAGATGAAATACATTCCTGTCTTAATCATTACACTTTAACTAGACATTACCATATTCACATTTCGATGATTTTTCAGGGCATATCAACTGAGTGTACATGTTCCATTTTTTTTTACCTTGCTATACTAGCCCTCTTTATAGACGTACACAGATTACAAGGCAATGGTATAGAAGCACAGCAGTCAGCTCTCCTGAAGCCTTGAGGATAGGGATTGCCTTGTGTCGTGGGTGAGGAACCTAAGACTCAGAAAGAATCACTAACCTGCCTGGGCTCACACAGCCAGTAAGAGGCCAACAGGAAGACCCAGAAATGCACTGTGGTGTGCTGAGGCCGGGCCCTAGCAGCTTGCCAGAGCTGGTTCTGTGCATCTGTTGCTCTATAATCACTGAGGTCAGCTCGGTAGCCTGAAATCTGCCTTTGTGGGAATACAAACACCACTGGAAGTAGTAAATGGTACAAATCAGGGCTCCCCACTCCCCACCCTTTAACTGGTAGTTAAACATTAACAGCATACAGCCACATGCTGGTCTCTAAATCTCGTGTTTTATTTGCACTGGCAACTGCCTGACTCTTTCTTTTTTTTTTTTTTTTTTCAACGTTTTAATTTTTTTTTTCAACGTTTATTTATTTTTGGGACAGAGAGAGACAGAGCATGAACGGGGGAGGGGCAGAGAGAGAGGGAGACACAGAATCGGAAACAGGCTCCAGGCTCTGAGCCATCAGCCCAGAGCCTGACGCGGGGCTCGAACTCACAGACTGCGAGATCGTGACCTGGCTGAAGTCGGACGCTTAACCGACTGCGCCACCCAGGCGCCCTTGCCTGACTCTTTCTTAACAACTGAAGACGTGTCTTCAGTCCAGTGGTGGACATGATGGTTTGGGTGTTTACCCATTTTGATGACCTGAATGCTTGCCAAATTTCCCTAACTCATTTCCAAGACAGGTGGATCTCCCCAGGGCATCTTCAGCACACCCTCTGACTCTGCCCTTTGGTAACCTTATAAACACCTACCAAAGTCTGACGCCTGTTCTCATTGTGTTCACAGCTCCTTCCAGTGTGCGAGAACCGTCTGGAACAAATGCCAAGAGAAAGAATGTGAGTTGTTTTGTTTTGTTTTTTAAACACTTAACCTCACGAGAAAAAGATGTCTGAAAACTCTGCTTTAGTTTTGAGTTTTGGCTTATTGGTGCTAATACCCAGAGTACTAGGAGGCATGGAGGTTTCTTCCATTTGAAAAGAGATCAAGAAGGACTGAAATCACAGAAAGCATGTTCTCCAACCAGAACAGTGTTATATAACGAATCAGTAATAAGATATCTGGGATACGTACATACCTTTTAGACATCACGGAAATTAAAGAGCACACTTAAAAAAAATCAGGATCAAAAAAAAAATTCACAAGGAAAATTAAAATATATTTGAGTGTTAATGACAAAATAACCTATCCAAATTTGTGGGATGCAGCTAAAGCAATGTTCAGAGGGAAATTTATAGCTGCTAATGCTTAAATGAGGAAGCAGGCCCATGTTCCTCAGTTTTTACAGCAGGACTAAGGCCCGACTCCTTGCTGTTGACATTGTCCATGCACGTACTTTATTCAATAACAAAGACTATGTGTTTATAATGTCAAGGCTTGGTGTTAGGGACTAGGGACACAAAGGTGAATAAACAGCTGTGGCCCCTGCCTTCTTGGAGCTTAGTGGGTGAAATTACCAAACAAATTAGCATGTAATTAGGAATTGTGGTAAGTGTTTAACTACAAGCAACAGGGTGCAGTGACAACCAACACAGCATGGCCTAGCAAATGTGATCGGATGAGGCCTCGTAGAATGGGACATTCAGGTGGAGACCTGAAGATAAGACGGTCAGCCTTGCTGGAAAGCAGAACAAGAGCTTTCTGGGTGCACAGATATGAAAGCCCCAAGGCTAGAAGTGTCCTGAGGCCTGTGGGCGGGGAGGGAGAGCATATAGGAGATTACAGAGAGATGGACAGAGGCCCGATCACATGAGGTCTTAGGTGCCAAGACAGGGGTTTGGGTTTTATTCTTAGGCCATGGGAGACCACAAGGGGTTGAGTTTTGCCATGTAGCCTCCTGTTACACCAGACTAAGCCCTTTAGGCCCAGCTGTTTGATAGGTCCTGCCAGAACTTACTCCAGGAACACACCATATGCCTGCCAATCCCTCCTCCTAGAACCCACAGACTCCATTATTGCCCAGCTTACCCTCACTCCTCCTCTTTCACAACAGCTCTGTAGTCTTTTTCTCTGGGGAAGCTTGTCCTGACACTGGCTGCCCGCCTTACAGAGGTCACAGCTCTGTGTCCTCCTCTGCACCAGACGAAAGAGGAAGGACATCACTAGCTTCTCTCAATCCGCAGCAACCCAGGCATCAAATGCTATCAAACCTTCTTCAGAGGAGCAGATGTTCTCAACCTACTGCCTCCCTCTTACATGTTCTCGTAATTCTCTGGGCCCCCCTCTCCTGCAGCAGCTAGAATTCTGTGTTTTAGTCATCAGTTTCTTTGTCCATCTTCCCTCCTAGACTGAAGAGCAAGGCCCAGGTCTCTATTCTTGTATCTCTAGGCATCAAGCATGGGGCCTGGCCCACAGCAGGCCCTGGTAACAGTTGGAAACATGATGGACACTCAGCACTGAGCCCATGTTCAGACTAAAGTTACTTACCCAGTGACCCATCTCCAGAGGAGGGCCAGGTGGATCAGATAGGGTCTGTCTCCATTCTGTGCCTTATGGTGCGACTACCCTTGGCACAGACTGCTGTGGGGAAGAAGGTAGGGTACCAATTGTGGAGGGGCATCTCACCAGCCAGCTGCTTTTTCTGCAGAGAGAGAAAGGGGACAGGCAGGTGTACGTGGAGCCTGGCCAGTATGTGGATCCTTTCACAACCGTGACTCTGGGCTGGCCAGACAGGGACAAGGATTTACGTTTCCAGTGGTCATGCGGTAGGTGGCCTTAGAGCTCTGGAACTGTCCTATCTCACCACAAAGTAATGGATAGAGGTCAACTTTGCTTTTTTTTTTTTTTTTTTTTTTAATCTTCACACAGGCATTACTTATCCTTGACATTTTGTGTGCTTTGCATGTGCCAGAGATTGAAAATCCCATGGAAATGGGAGGTGGCGGGTGTGGGGTGGGGGCGGTGGGGTGGGGATGGGGAAAAGCAGTGGAAAACCAAGGCAGAGGGAGCCCTAAAGGCAGCAACACAGAGATGCATTGAGAGGATTAACCCTAAAAGTCAATAGGCTTTATTTTCCCCACAAACAACATCAGTGCTAAAAACAAAGCAAAACAAAACAAAACAACTCCTCCCTTTTGGGTGGATCCCTCCTGTCACCTCCTTGCCCTTGCTGGGTATGTCACTGGGAGAGTCTAGAAGGGAGGAGGCATTTTCTGACAAACCAAGAGGACAGCACCAGTACTCACTTCTTAGAAATGGTTGTCCTGCTTTATAGGGATACATCCTAGCTACGTACACATTCTTTCGGAAATGAATGCCATCCATATCACACTTACTATTTTTATGATTTTTTTTTCTTTGAACAATACATCCTGCGTATTTTAATGCCATGGTATCTTCTCTATCTTGATTTCATAAGAGAGTAAGTGCATAATAGACTGTCAAAGTTGATGTATGGTCATTTATTTACTGGTACCCTGTTTTTGGACACGTAGGTTATTCGGAATTATTTGCCCGTACATAAACAACATTGTAATGAACATCCTTGTAGTTCTGCCTTTATCTGCATCTGTGGTTACCTTCAGAAGTAAGTTCTGAGAATAAAAAATAAATTTCAAGAAATGGAATAACTGGGTCAAGTCATATAAAATGTAGAGCCTTTTGATATCCACTGGTAGGTGCTCAGGACATTCTTTGGAATATTAGTTTTCACTATCTGAATTCACAGAGGATACAGGTATACAGTTTGGGTGGTTGAGCTGATGGCCTGACCCTAGCTCATGTCCCGTGAATGACTACCAAACTTCGGGGCAGGGGGAGCAAGGTGACTGATGGGTAAACATCGATCAACACAGATGAAGGGCGAGGGATAGAGACTTACTGAGCCAGTATCATAAAGCAGGAGATGGCATGTATCCTCCCAGATGGGGAGAACGGCCCGCCGGATCCCCAGTGTACCCACAGGGACATACAGTTGAGGACAGTTGTTTCCACGTGGTATGAGAGGTACACCAGGGACAGGAAGCTGTCCTGGATGCTCCCCCAGGCAGAGCTGTATATCCCCGCCCCCCCTCCCCTACTATATGCCTGCCTGTCCTCAGTGCAGGTCGCTGGTGCCGAAGAAGCAGACAGACCCTGCAGGTCTGCTCAGGGTCAGGGTGAAGGGCGGCTCATGTCCCCAGAAGCATCCTTCTGCAGTGCCATCCTCGCACCCTGCAAGTGAGAGTGTTTTTAAAAATCAAACTCTCTCTTTGGAGCTGCTTTTCTTATCTATGACTCTTTTCTTCTAAAAACCCAGACCGGAAGCGTCCTTGGATGATCATAGCCTTTGCCCCTCTCTCTCAGGACGTTGCTGGGCCCAGTGGAGCTACTGTGTTGAGAGGCAGCTGCTCCGTGTGGACCAGGGGGAGCTGGTGCTTCCTCCGTCCTGCCTGCCACCACCCAGCTCCGCTGTCACCCTGCGCCTGGCCACCTGGAGGGGCGGGGAGCTGGAGAACCGGGAGGAGCAGTGTCTCTACGTGTCTGCACCCCTGGAACTCAGGCCTCGAGTCAGGTGGGGGCACGAGAGCAAACTCCTGCAGCAATGATGTCCCTTCGGCCACCGTTTACCGAAGAGCCAGGGCAGGCAAGGCTTCCTCGGCCCAGATGTGAAGAGGGAAGAGGAATTAACTTGGCAGCAAAAGGGGGGCTGGAGAGGGCATATGGGTGACAAAGGGAGGAGCACAGAATAAGCCAGAAGTGAAAGAGGCTGGTGTGGCTCATATGGAGGGGGACAGGGGAGCAAGAAGAAACGAGGGGAACAGGCAGGGCCTGGCTCTGGTGGGACCGTGTGGGTTATAAATAAAGACGTGATTCTGAAGAGTTCTGGAAAGCCACCCAAGGGTTGCAAGCAGGCTGGGGACATGATCTGTCCTAGTACAGAACGCTGTGGCAGCAGGGTGGAGAGCAGGCTGGAGGAGGGCAAGGGCGGGCTCAAGGAGATTGCTTGAGCTCTTGCATCAAAGTGAAGGTTGAAGGAAGCTTGGTCTATTGGGTGGGGCCCAGACAGAGAGACGTGGGCAGGGATAAGGGAACAAGCCAGGGATGACAGTGCAGGACTACAACAGGAGGAAGCCACTCTCCCTCTGAGGACTACAGAGGTAAGCAGGGGGATGGTGTCCCGGGAACCCTGGGAGCTGCAGCTGTAGGGGAGGCGGCCCCCAACAGGAGCTGTGGGCTTGGTTGGAGGAGCACAGCCACTGCCAACAGCAGCCCACCTGCTAAGGAGCAGGGACCGTGGTGAATAAATACCCTCCCGCCCTCCCATTGTTACCTTCTGATCCCCAGCCAATGCCTCCCATTGCCGGACCCAAGCAGAAGCCAGCCGGCACAGGAATGTGGGTGACACAGTCCACAGAGATTAGCCTCCTAGTGTCCAGGGCCACGGAGTTGATGGAGAGCAGGCTGTGGGGACAAATAGAGAATGTCCATCACACCAGTGTTAGGACAGACATGAAGACAGGAGGGAGATTGCCAGCTGCTATGCAGTTACAACTGAGAGGTCCCGGGGATGGGCTGGACCCACGGCAGGTGCCAAAGGGATCTCTCACTGGCTCAAGGGAGGGAGTGGGATGCTATAGAGAAGGCCCTGGAATCGAACCTAGACATGCTGGTTTGTGTTGCCCTCCCCCACTCAGGAGTCGTGTGACCGGGAACAAATCACGCCAGCTCCATGAGCCAGGTTTTCTGGCTCTGACAAGGGGATTCTAACATGTGGCTCCTAGGGTTGTGGTAAGCACTGGATGAGGGAGTAACGATGCAAATCATTTATAACCTGTGGCACGCAGGCAATAAAACCACAGTATTCCTTTATTATTGGAGCTAGAGGGAGTCACAGAAATCGTTCTTAACTCCCCATTTTGCAGGTGAGGAAACAGACTCAGAGAGTTTAAGTGACTCATACAAGGTGACCATTCACAAGAGGCAAGGACAGTATCTGAGGACCCTGGACTTCATGCACTTTCCACACCACTGTCCTGCACACTGAATGAAGTGGGAATTCGGTCAGGCACAAGTCCTCTCCTTGACCAACGTTACAGGTCCTGGTTTGGGTTGGGGCAGGGGTTGCCTTTATTCCATCTTCCACCAGAAGAGAGGCCCTGTGCCACCTTCTCAAAGGACTTGAGAAGAACCGGACAAAAGACCAGCCCAGGAGGCCTGAGTGAGCTTCCTCACTGCGTTCTGTCTCCCTTTCAGCTGCGAGAACTGCAGACCTGGGAACCCCAGGGAAGACACTGTGCTCAGAGTCACCATGGGGGATGGCTCCCCAGGGGCCGTGTTCAACTGGTATTTAGATGACACCTCGCTGGAGAAGGTGAGGACACTGGCAATCACCCACTCTGACTGACCAGACCTGTGTCGCATGTCCAGTACTGAGCACCCCGGACGGTGGGGGTTGGGGGGGGTGTTCCCCAGAGGAAACCCAGGTCATTGGTCAGAAGGGAGAATGGATGCAAGGGAGCAAAAACAATGGAGAAACATCAGAGCAGATGCTACGGGTGCCCCAGCCCGGTCCCTCTTACTAGGCTGATGCATGGTCCCCACCTGCTGTGGAGTGACCGCTGGCCAATAACTGATGGCTGGGGGTGTCTAACGGCCCAGGCCCCTTGCCTCTGACAACCTCTGTGGTGTGGCTGTCACTTCCTGTGGGATCAGGCTGAGGCTGGCTGGACACCTCCTGAAATCACTTCCCTGCCTAGTTCATTCTGTGCCCTACTCTGCTTCCCTCTTCCCTCTGGTTCTCCCAAGGGCCCTCCCGCAGGAAATGACCTGCCCGTGAATCCCCATCTCAGGTTCTCCTTCAAGGGAAACTGACCTCAGACAATCACCTAAGCAAGGCTGGAAATTGGGTCTCTGGGCTGACTTGGGGAAGCGGGTGGTGGCTTTGCCGCAGAGACAGATCTGGAAGGCCTCCCCAGGGTAAGGAGCCACTGCCCTGCGGAGGTCCAGCAGCCTGGCTGCAGCCTCGGGGGCTCTGGGTGGCGTTCTCTTTCAGGCGGAGCCTCTCCCACCCGTCTGCAGACTTCAAGGATTTTGGCCCAGGGCTTTAATCCTCCTTCAGAGCAACACGTCCACGCTGCGGCTGAACAGCTCCTTCCTGCAGACCTGGGGCCAGGCCCTCCGAATCAGAGCCACAGGTGCGGAAGGCTCCCCGCAGGCCCCGGCACGGCTTCCGCCTGTCTGCCGAAAGCGAACCAAGGCAAACTCAGAAACCCAGAAATGTGGGACATCAGTGCAGGGTCAAGGGCCACATGCAGAGTCTGGTGTCAGCCCCATCGCCACCACTTTCTAGCTGGCGGCAAGGCATTTAAACTCTCCGTGCCTCCATTTCCCGCCTCCGAACTGCACTATGCAGGGTGGATGAGACCGATCATTCTGGTGCAGTCTGCGTGTCCTGCCAGGTCGTTCTCACCTTAAACAAGCCAGTGCGGTGGGAAATGTAGATTCTCAAAAAGACAAACAATGGGGGATTACTCTTCCAGATACATTCAGTTGTTCTCAAAGTGGCCCACGGACCACCCACACTGGGACAACCAGGGATACTGGTTTAAAACACACACTCCAAGGCTTGCCCCAAACTTTCTGAGTTAGGTCTAGGCTAAGGAATTCATTTTAACCGATTAAAATTCTCTTCGTGCCCAGCTCTTCCAGGCACATACTCTTTTTGAAGTGTCAGGTGGTGAGGGATGCTGGTGCAGGTAACTGTGGGCTCTTCGCGGTGCTGTGGAGGCCTGGAAAGAGCGTGGCTTTGGGTGGGGTCAGCCCATTTCTAGATTCTGGCTGTGGCCCTTCCTACTAGCTCTGTGATCTTGAGCAAGTCCTTTCATTTCCCAGTATACTTCCTCATCACCACAACTGCAAGGAAGCTGCTAATATTAGCCCTGTTTTACAGATGAAACACTGACTCTCAAAATGTGAGATCCTGGGGTGCCTGGGTGGCTCAGGCGGTTAAGTGTTCGATTTGGCTCAGGTCACGATCTCACGTCACGGTTCTTGAGTTCGAGCCCCACATTGGGCTCTGCGCTGAACGGCTCAGAGCCTGGAACCTGCTTTGGATTCTGTGTCTCCTTCTCTCTCTGCCCCTCCCCCTCTTGTCCTCTCTCTCTCTCTCTCTCTCTCTTTCTCTCTCTCTCAAAAATAAATAAACATTAAAGAAAAAAAAGAAGAGTCCCACAAAAGTGAGACCCCAGGATACCTGCATCAGGGGGAGTTGTCAGATGTGCAGATTGCTGGGCCCCACCCCAGAACCTCCAGAGAGGTCTGAGGCTGGGGGTCAGGAGAGGAGCCTGGGAACCTGCATGTTTAACAAGCTCCCGGGGTGATCCTGAAGCATGGTGGAGTTTGGGTGACTCACACAGCCCCCCAAACACCCTCTCTCTTCACTCCCCAGCAGTGACCGGGCATGCCTATGGGGAGGACACCTATGTGATCGGCTCTGTGTCTCCCCCCGAGGTGCCCACCTGCACCATCACTCCAGAGGAGGGTACCGTTCTGACAAGCTTCGCCATCTTCTGCGACACATCCTCGGCCCTGGGCCCCCTGGAGTACTGCTTCTGTCTGGAGTCAGGTACTGCCCCAGGGCTGTGCTCTCCCCTGAGCTGCTAGGCTCCGTTTCTCCCAGAACAGGGGCCTGTCTCCCTCTGGGAGCTGCAAAAAGTATGTTCCATGTGTGAGAGACGTTTGCAGAATGAAGACCTCCCCCAACTACACCTTAGCCCCACCCCAGGCACACTGACCCAGTCACACACCCAGGGAGAGGCGAAGCTGGCCCCATCGATATCTCCTCCATGGCTATAGAGGCCAAAATGACCTCTGCCCTGGCATAAAAGACGTGGAGGGGGTTAAATGGATGAGAATATGCAGAGGTGTGACCACTGAAGGCCTCGACTAGAGAAAGGTGGACACAAGCAATCCTGAGAACCCAGAGGAGGGTGGTTTTCATGGGGTGCCAGTTAAGCAGATGTGGAATGCAGGGATGTTCAGATGGCTGTGACTGGGTTTGAACCTGGAGGGAGTCAATTCACAGAAGGAAAATAGGTTCCATGTCGAACCTGCATCCCCCCCAGATGGAGGCCGGCTAGCTGCTCTAATTCCAACTGGTTGTTCCAACTGGTTGCTCACACAGGTGAGCAAAGGGGCAGGGAAGTGAAACCATGTAAAACTCAGCTGTGAGTTATAATTCAGTAACTTCATGATTGTCTGCACATTACAATGATTAGTGATTCCACTGAGGGGGGAGGTCTCCTTTAAGGATAGGAAAGATATGCATTCATTCATTCATTCATTCATTCAACAATAAATATTTATTATACCTCAGGCTCTTCCAGGTGCTAGATACATAGTAGTAAACTCCAAAGGGCAAGTCCCTGACCTCCCTGTGTTACAATTAGTGGTGGAGACCGTTGGTAAATAAAGACATAGGACAGGGGCGCTGTTTAGATACACCAACCTGGGAAGGCCTTTGTACAGGAAGTGACTTTTGAGTGAGCTTCGATGTTTTGAGATAATTTTTAAGATCGCCTCCTGCCCTCTTCTTCCTCCTCCTTTTTGTAACTTGGTTTACCTCTTGAATTTCTTTGTAAACCTGTCAAGAGGAATTTTTTTTTGAATTTTTTATGGATTCTAGTAAAATTATTCCAAAGTCATAGCAGCACGCAATTACCTACAGAGACTAGGGGATCAGTATAGATGGCTGTCGTCTCTCTGAAAGCACAGAGTCGTTGAGGGCTTGCCACGTCTTTATGAGCTGTGGCTTCTGTGTCCTTGTCATCAGGCTCTACCTTGGTGGGTTTCCTGTCTCCCCAGGGCCTAGAGATGCCGCCCTAACTGTTCAGTTTCCATTTACCAGGTTCTTGTCTACACTGTGGCTCTGAACCTGCCCTCCAGTCAGTTTATCTGCCACTTGGAAAAGTAAACAATGACTTCATGCTGACAGTGGTCATTTTTGTGTCCAATCGGGCAGGGGACAAACAACAGGCCCATGCACTGGTGAAGGTAGGTGGCAGCAGCCTTTGTTTCTTTCCTGAGAAAACTTGTTACCCAACTGAACTTCCCCAAAAGGGTGGCTGGGCTGAAGGGAGCTGAGGGCATGACCATATGAATCACTGATCCATTCATTCCTTCAACTAGTATTTCCAGAGCACCTGCTCTGTGCCAGGCCCTGGGGACACAGATGTGAACATGGCCACTACCTTTGTAGATCTTACATCTCAGTGGCCAGAATAGTGCCCTGGAGTAATGCCCTGGAGGCTTGGAGAAGGAGGACCCAGAGATGAGTCAGACCAGTGCCATCAGAGTCCAAAGGAAGGAGGGCCAAAATCAGCCATCAGGGCTACATGGCAGAGACTGGATTAAAGCTGGGTAAATTTCAAGGGTGAGAGGCCAGGAGGAGCAGGAAGGGACTGGGGGAACTATGAGGAGGGCAGTGAGGGGGAAGCAGCGACTTGTCCAAGGCTTGGTTTCAGTGGCCGTTGGATGCCTGCTACAAGCGGGCCCGGCTGCCCTCAGTCTCGGGAGAGACCCCGGGCCATGTGCAAAGCCTTCCCGTCATGCTCTGGCCTGCCTTGTGGAGACTGCGACTTCAGGCTCCGGATTCTGGAACAAGGACTGGTGAGTTCAGGGCTTCCCTGCGCTGAGCATGTCTCCTGTTTCCCGGTCAGGTGGGACTTGGAGACACCCACGTTGAGAATGTGGCATTCCAGGCTGCAGTGGTGGAGAACATCACCACCGCTCTGCGAGGCGAACGGGACCCCGAGCGGCTCTTCCAGCTGGCCAGGGCCGTGGCATCGGTGCTGGACCAGGAGTGCCAGGGGCGGGGCTGCAGGCGGCTGCTGAACGTGGACGTCGGACAGAAGGTGCTCAAGATGGGGCCCTTTTACACTGTCCACTGGGGCCCCGGAGCCTGGGGTGGGGAGTGGAGTTTATGGAGCCGTGGAGGAGACTTTGGCATCTCCTGAGCTGTTGATGTCACTTCCCTCTTCTGGTCCTTTCACTAAGTGACCTGAAGTGATGGAAACCTGCTTTCCTCGTCTTCCTGGAGTCAAAGCCTTCTAGGGAAGGAAGGAATTTAAGAGTCTTGCTCCAATCCCTCCTGTCAAAGGCGACAAAACCGAGGCCAGAGGAGAAAAGTGGCCTGGCCCCAGTCATATGGTTAATGGGTTGGGGTCCGACGTTAGACGTCATCCCACTTCTGTCACTTTCCATCTATACTGTCACAGGCTGGTGAATGAACTTCCCTAAGCCTCAGGTTCGCCACTGGAAAATGGGGATGATAAATAGTGTTTACCTGATAAGGTTAGGTCAAACCATTTGAAATTACCAACATTCAACCATTTTTAACCCACAAAATGGCCATTTCGTGTGTTACAACCTGACACGATAAACAACTATTGTAGAACATACGATTACCTCTACTCCTGGTGCCTGCTATATGAGTGCAGGCACGTGTGGGTGCAGGTACACACAGGTGCACATGCACGCACACGCACACACACGCACAGTAGCACATACACCTGCTGGGCATGAAGAAGAAAAGAAAGACTTTTCTGGTTCCCTGAAGGGTTTGCAAGAAAAGTACTTAGCATGGTGCAGGACACGTGGTAAGGACTTAATACAAAGAAGTGGTGGTTGTCATAGTGATTACTTATAGATAAATGACGTTTATTGTGCACCTACTAGGTGCTGTCGGCTCCAAGAGCATCATGGATATGTAATCCTCGTTAAAACCCTACAAGGTAAATGGTGAGATCCCCATCCATGTTACAGAAGAGGAAACAGACTAAGAGAATTTGAACAGCTTGCCCAGGCCCACATTTCTAAGTAGGTGGTGAAGACGGGGTTCCAACGCAGACCAGCTCTTCCCCAGTCTACCTCCCGCCCTCCCAAGTCTCTCACCCCTTCCCTGAGTTCACATTAGTACCTCCATACACCCCCAGAACCCACCACCTGGTTCTCAATCTTGGTTGCTTTCACTCTGAACATTACCCATGGTAGACTTGCATTTGGATGTCCTGTGGTTCCCTGAGCACACAGACTAGGCAGCCCGACCCAGGGTCTCCTCATGAAAAAGTGGGGTCCTGGCAGCAGGCAGGTGTAAAACTCTAATGCGGTAACGGAGAAGACTTTAAGAAGGGCTCTGTTGATAAAAGTTGGGGCTCAGCCTGAAGTGAACAGAATCCAGAGGGAGCCACTGCATGTGGAGGGGCCCCCTGGCACAAGCAGTGGCTTCTGAAGAATGAGGCCGTTGACCAACCACAGTGGACTGGCAGGGAGGCACCGGGAGTATAGCTTCTAGCTCTCTCTCCTCCAGTCCTCTCATCTCCTGCTGCATGAGTCCACCGACAGAGAGTCAGGAGCCAGGGGCATCTCCATGGAAGCTGCCTCCAGGACAGTGACCAAGGCAGGAGGGAAGATCCACAGAGGCAAACATGACTTAACCTTCCAGAACACCTGACAAGAGTCCCCTCATATACTGGCCTTTTCTTTCCTCCATCCAAGCCATAGCCTGGATGCATCCTGACTTAAGAGCAGACAGGTTCAAACTCTGCAGCTGCCATGAAGGGCCGTCAGACAGGTAGGCTGAGTGAGCCGTGAGGAGCAGGCCACAGAGGACTAGTCACTCAGATCCGGGCTGTGCCAAATGGTTGCCGCTCGCTTCTCTAGGAACTCACAGCAAATTAAATGGATTAAAATGGGGCGCCTGGGTGGCTCGGTCAGTTGAGCATCTGATTCTTGATTTTGGCTCAGGTCATGATCCCATGGGTTGTGGGAACTCTGTGCTGAGCAGGAAGCCTGCTTAAGATTCTCCCTCTCTCCTCCCTTCCTCTGCCCCTCTCCCCTGCTCATGCCCTCTCTAAAATAAAATAAAAAAAAAAAAAAAGAAAGAAAGAAAAAGAAAAGAGAAAAACTTAGAGATGAATTAAAATGAAACAAAGTTTAAAATTCAGTTCTCCAGCTGCCCTGGTCATGTTTCAAGGGCTCAGTAGTTGCATTCGGTGAAGGGATGGTGCAGAGACAGGACCTTCCATCAATGCAGAAAGTTCTATGGGGCAAGTGCTGAAATTATCTTCTTAGTTCTTGTGTGTAGCTGTCAAGGCCGGTCCCCGGCCCCTGTAAGGGCTCTGTGGCTTAGGAGACACAGTCCCCAGAAGCCTCTCCACTCCTCCCTCCAACTTCAAAGCCAGCACCTCAACATCTTCAGACCCTTCATTCCCTCCTCCCTCCCTCCCCAAATTTCCCCTCCTCACTTCCTTTTCCTTCCTCCCCCACTCTTTTCTCCACCTCTGCCTCCACCCACACATCTCCTTCTCTCTGACCCTCCTACCTCCCTCTTACAAAGACCCCTGTGATGGCAGTGGCCCCACCTGGTTAATCCAGATATGCTCCCATCTCAGAACCTCTCACTTAATTAAAACTCCAAAGTGATTTTGCCAGTCCCTTTTGCCATGTGACGTGACATACTGACAGGTTTCAGAGATTAGGATGTGGACATCTTTGGGAGGCCATTCTTCTGCCCACCACACAACCTATGAAGCAAACAGAGGTCTGCGGGCTTTGGAAAACCCCAGAC